AATTTCTGTGTGTAATTTATTTTTTATTCATTGAATGCCATCATTAATTTATTAGTACAATCTTTAAAATATTTGTAATAATAACTTAATGGATAAATTATAATATAAAACATGCTGATTAAAAATTGCTCTGAAAATTAAAAACTCATTATATGAATTCTAATGTAAATAATGAAGATTAATAAGGATTTTGTTGATGAAAAATAAAAATTGATTCATTTGTGGAAAATAAAAATTGTAAAAGCAAAATGGTCAATTGAATGGTAAGTCACTAATTTTGGGTGTGTGTGTGTTTTTTATTTTTATTTTTTTTTGATATAATTGAATGTTAGTTTCACTCTTTATATTAATTCCAATCCAAAATGATAAATATCAATTAAATATTTCACTCCTTATATTATATTAATTCTAAACCAAATGATAAATACTAATTAAATTTGTATTCCAATTACGAGGGTATAGTGGGAAGTGCTACATGTACATAATTGTCTATATAATGGTGTCCATAATTACATATAACACTGGATCCAACCTTTAATTCAAATTTCACACTTTTACATCAACAATCGGATGATTGTCACATCACATTATGGACACTATTATGTGCAATAATTATGTACATATAAGCTTTTCCTAAATTATATTGTAGAAGATGTAGATGTAGATAGATTTAGTTGTTTTTAAATTCAAATTAAAAAAATTATTTGTCTAAGTACTTTAAATAAGCCTAGCCAAACATGCACTCGGTCAATGTTTTCTTGCGAACAAGTCTCAACTAATCATTTTCTGCCAAAGTTTCCACATTTTTTTGTAAATATAATCCACGGTACGCTCATGGTATTACTAAGTGAAAGGATTGAAACTTTTTACATATTTTTCTACATTTTATGAATTTTAAGACTTATTTGATGACACAGACCTTCTCAATTCTTAGCTTAACCTTGGCATTTTTTATTGTTGTGTAAAGCGACTAGGTTTAGGATAATAAAATAATGAACTGTAAAATATTTCTAAAAAAAAAAATAAAATATCACTTTTTTATTAATATCGAAAGGAACCCTTTACATATTTATTAATATCGATAGGAACCCTTTACATATTTATTCCACACTTACATGCAAGACGTTAAACACTTAATAACAAGCATAGAAAATAAGCACTCAACTTTCTAGATTACATAACTTTTCCTTATTTCATTTCATATAAGTAGATAATATTCGACAAGTCCCAGTTCAAGTTCAAGTCCAAACCGTCACATCATTATTTTTGCATCTCAACCGTCCATTTCAATCAAGGCTTCCCAATATGATGACTCTCGATATCCTTAGTGAGATCAATGAAGAAGGCAAGCAGTGTAATTGGATGTGGAACATCCTCGTTAGGCATCTCGTAGTCTAGAGTCCACGTTACCAAGTCGATGTCCCCTTTGGTTTCAATATGAATTTTTATGATGAAATTCTTGTAGAGCTCCATCAAATCTCCTTCAAGCATCTTGAATGTTATTGACTTTTTCTCCTCATCTATGGCTTCAACCACTTGCTTTGCAACCCTTTTTTTCCCATCTGTGCTTCCCACAAAGTTAAATTAATAAAAGGCTATCAAAATTCTTGAGTTCTCTTAAAATTAAGTTATTAAATAAGTAATGGGTTTTTGAGAAACAAAGAATATGGTTTTTTAAGGTTTTCACGCGCTTTATAGCTATAACAATTATGGTCGCCTTTTATGTGATCTGTTTTGAGAAAGATTGTTAGACATCATGGAAAAGAGTACAAGAAGAAACCAGTTGACTTAAATAAAGAGGTTTTAAAATAACTAGATCGCAAGTATTTAGGTGACTCTTATAACCTCAACAGTAAATAAAGAGGTTTTAAAATAGCTATAACAATTATGGTCACCTTCTATGAGATCTATTTTGAGAAAGATTGTTAGACATCATGGAAAAAAGTACAAGAAGAAACCTTTAACTTAAATAAAGAGGTTTTAAAATAACTAGATCACGAGTATTTAGGCGACTCTTATAACCTCAACAGTAACTTCCCTTGACTTATGGAATAAGATCGATTCATACAGAGTAAAAGACTCTCTACTTTTGATAGATTTTCTATCATTCACTCAATGAATAAATGGGAAGTTGTCACAAAAGCTCACGGTCGATGAAAGTCGATTTCATAATAAAGTAAAAGGTGAATATGGGTTTACCATGAGTGTATTTCCAGCAGATAATGGAGCCTTCTTTTCCAAATTCTCCTTGGTGCAAGTCACAGCCATGAACCTTCTCAGGAGCGGTGGTGGAGACATGGTGTGGTCTGTGTGTGAATAATTCATGAAAGACATCTCCCCCAGCTTTGAACTCTATTTGGGCTACCAATTTTCCAAGTAATCCCATTATCCTAGATTGGATTTAACCTAATGCAGATGAACACATAACTATGTATCATCACCCTATTATATAGTTGAATCGTAGTTGACGGTGGGATCAACTTGTGCTATTCTAATATTTCCCCTTTTATTTTATTTATTTTCTTTTAAGAGTTTCGTGTATACTTTAAAAAATCGATGGACAATGACTTCTATAGTTAAATACCAACAAATAAGGGCGAAATTGCTGCGTTGGTCCCCAAGCTATTGACTTAATTTGTTGCAGTATTGTTTGTTTCTGGGTGAGGTGTTCCTCAACTTATTAATTTCGATGTAGTAGCTAGTTTCCACCCGTTTGGCCATTGAGTAGTCAATTTTATTTATTTATTATTATTGAAAGACCATTTTATCCTTATGTTGATTAAGTGTGCTAAAAAATACAAAATAGAAACGAGAAAATGGAAGAAATATAGAAGGATAAAAAAGGAAAATTTTACTTGTACATAATTATTGCACATAATAGTGTCCATAATGTGATGTGACAATCATCCGATTGTTGATGTGCAAGTGTATGATTTGAATTAAAGGTTGGATCCAGTGTCACGTGTAACTATGGACACCTTTATGTAGATAATTATGTACATGTAGCACTTCTCAGAAAAAAAGGTCTCTAATGTTCCCCCACCAACACCGGTGTCAACACACCACCATCTGATTAACATGGACAATCGTGATTAACACATTGAGAACTATCCACTTCAACTAGTATTTCCACACATTTCACCACTAAAACAAATATTTTCTACATTCCACGAATATTATAATATCAATCGAGCCGATGGGTCCAAATCGACTCTTCCCACGATAAATAATGACAATGGCCAATCATAGAGAATAACAATGATTAAAGAACTAGTAACATGAAATGCTGTTGCTGGAAAGCAATGAAACTGAGAATTTGGACTTCCGTCTCTCTCTCTCTCTTTATTGCCTTTCCAATATAGTTTCGTTACCAATTTACTCCTCAAAATTATAACAAATGAGATGCACGACTTGTTTGAGGGCCAAAATGATAGAAAACATCTTATAAGGACCAACACAAAAAAATAGATAAGTTTGGGACCATGCTGCCAAGAAAGTTAAGGTCCACTGTTGCAAGTTTCCCATAAATAATTGTATGCAAGATGCATGAATCGAGTGTGTATTTAATATTATTTTTCAGAGTATAGTAATAAGATAGAGATAGAGCGTTGAGCATTTATCGTACATTTTCTAGAGAAAGATCATTGATAATTTATTTATTGTTGTAATATAATAAAATAATTATTAATGATTATTTAATATTATCATGATACATATATGTGTTTTATCTAGTTTAGACAATTTATTTCATTTCAATTGTAGATCTTATTTTAGACTATATAAATATAGGACATTGATTCTTAATAATACATACAAGTTTATTGG